CCGTGTGCCGTCCCGCCCCCCGCCGCTGGGGCGGCTCCGGAATGGCGGGTGCGGCTCATGGGGCGGCTCTGCAGGAGAGCAGTGCTCGGGGAGGCGGAGGTGCTGCGGTGCCTCAGAAAATGGCCTTCCAGCTACTGACCTGTCGGAGTGACGCAGCAAGCATGCCAGGCTCTAGGCCCGCGCCGTGCCTCACCGGCTGTGAAGCACCCGCTGTCCGCCTGCCCCTTCCGTCCCCGCGCTCCGCGGACACTGGTACGGGCCGAGTTAGACGGGAGGGAAGTGCTGCGAGGGGGGTTTCTTGCTGTGGTGTAAATAAAGGAGTGGTCCAAGGTCCCGAGCCTGACTGTATGTTCTTACCGTACGTCTCGGCCTTTGCTTGTCCCCATGAAGCAGCAGAGAAACGGCCTGGGAGGAGCTGAGTTGATGAAATAGTCCTGTTAAAACACCTGGCTTGCAGAAGTAGCAGCAAAGCTCGGGCCTGAATGTACGTGCATGTCACAGCTTAGTTACAAGGAAGGTTTCCCACAGCACAAGGATGTTAAGTCATTCTGCATTTTAATACCTAATTTGAGCAGTGAAATCTGTCAAAGTCAGAACTCATTACTAGTGTGTAATAAGACACTTTAGTATGTTAAGAGTTTTTGGAGCATACAGGTTTTACAGAGGCCTGGAAGAGTAATTTATCTCAAATATTTTTGCTGTATCTCCATCGTTGTGTTCCTTCCCTCGACTCTTTCACAGCATTTTCCACTAGGGTTTGTAGACAGCTGTGGCAATGTAAATGATTACTTCTGCTTGTGGTCAGTGTACATCGAATGCCAACAGCACACAAAAGGCTCAGATATGCTGACTGCAGAGCATACTAGAAACGTCTTCATCTCTTTCACAGCATTTTCCACTAGGGTTTGTAGACAGCTGTGGCAATGTAAATGATTACTTCTGCTTGTGGTCAGTGTACATCGAATGCCAACAGCACACAAAAGGCTCAGATATGCTGACTGCAGAGCATACTAGAAACGTCTTCATCCTATAACCCTTAATTAGACAAAAAAAAAAAATCAATATATTTTTATAAAAGCATATGTTTAGCTGCTAACTTCAACTGTTAGGCTACTGAAGTCTGTTGTTCCAAGTGTATGTTTTCTCTATTTGGTACCACAATCATCCAAGTTTTTGACAGGCAGGTCTGTAATAAAAAGGGAAAAGAGAGCATTTTCACTTTTAAACTTGCATTTTTTCTAGAGAACTTTTGAATTTAGTTACGCGGCTGCTGAAGATAGATGAATTTTTAAGAATAGTCCAGCAATCATTTTTTTTTTTCCTTTGCAAGTGTTGTACTTTATATTTTAAATCACAAAAATACTATGTATAAAAGAGAAGTAATTTAGTAGTAAAAGGACATTGTGTAGCAACAAAAATTCTACAGTGTGCCTTAGGCAAGGTTTCATACTATTGCAGTATCAAGTTACCCATTATAATCCTACTAAAAATAGCGACATTCTCATTTGCTTACATCTCAGATGAATGTTTCACTGCTTTTATCTTTGTTAGTTATTTACATCCTGATCTTGCAGATGACTGGTTGGAGGAAGTGGCCTGTTTGTGAAGAAAAGTGACTTTGCATCTACGGAAAAGGAGGGGCAAGTTAGTACTCCTATGACCAACTAGTAGACAATATTTTATGCTACTTCTGCATACTGTGAAGAACTGCATAGCTTGCAATGTAATAGAAAAGCATTTCTAGTGACGGTAGAAGTGGGCCTTAATTCTTTCAGGGATGGTTTTCAGTACTTTAAAATTGTTGGAAACCAGATAGAAACACCTTGTTAAGGAATATCACTAGAGATAATAGGTTTATTCATAAAACTTGACAAGCTGAAATAAGTCAGTTTGACCTTTATCTTCACCTACAAAATTATGTATTCTCTATTTCTAATGGAAAAATAAGCCTATTAGATACTTCAGTCTTCTAAACTTTAATATCTGATTGTTACCAAGATCTCTTCATGCTTTAACACATCTTTATAATAATGTATTTTACAATTAATTCCACAAGGAGGGATATGGGCCAGCTGCTACTTTTGTTTGAGGTATTTTAATATTAAACAAAATATGGAAAGATTGCCTCTGTCTTATTTTGCTGAAAAGCAGTCAATATATAATTAGAGATTTTGGTGCCATTCAACAGGGAGGGATACAAAACTGATGATTTCCTAGGGTATAGCATGTCCAACACACTAGGTGGAGAAGGAATCTCATAGATTATTTGTTTCATTGGAGGAAGAGTTTTATGAAATCAAAGAGGTAATTTTAAGATTAGAGAGAAATTAACATCTTCAGCAAAATGAGTGTAACCCTATTTGTAAATATATAAATGAAAATGATCCATACTGTCCAGAAAATGCTTGTAGTAGATTGTTCTACTTCTCTTTCCTTCCCTACAGTTAATTTATCTCATCCACCTGCTGTAGCATGCTATAAAATGAATTATGAAGTCTCTGGGGTGGGGACTATTTTTCATTTTAAGTCTTTTTAGTATTTAGCACCTTGATCTTAATTAACGCCTGTAGGCATTTCTGCAAAACAGCTATTAAATAGCAATCCAGGTTGATCAACTCCTCCCATGCCCTTCATGCTACTTTGGAAGTCGGAGGTGCAGACCAGGCAGGTGTTCCAGGTGTTACAAAGGGAGTAATGGTATCTAAATTAGTGGGAGTGTAAGAAAGCTGACACATTCAACCTCTGATAATTGAAGGTAAGGGTGAAGCAAGGCTTTGATTATCCTGTAGAAGTCTTGAATGAAGGAGGTGTACAGCAAGAAGTATACTTAACTTTCTTTTCTAGCAGATGAAGGTGAAGGGGTTATTAGATGACAGGTGACAATAACTACAAGATGCATGTATGAGAAAACTGAATGGACAAGTGCTGGAGCAATGTGCAGACTTTTGATGCAAAATAAGGATGTGCCTAATTTCTGTGTTAGGGTCATTTTGCCTGCTGATATTTTGCTCATTTCCTATCTAACATGTCTCTAAGTTCTTTCTGATTTGTCATTGCTTACTTCAAGAGAACAACTCCAACTTCAGCTTCTCCAGGCTAATAACCTTTGATACCAATTTACTAGGATAAATATATTATTTTCTACCTGTTTTTCATACATACAGTCTACATATATGTCTACAGAAGTAGCAGCCTGGGACAGGTCTTTGTCTTTCCAGAAAAAGCAGCAGCACCTGCATAACACATGCCTGTTTCATTATGGTAGAATACTTGTTTTTTTTCCTAAATGGTCCAGGAATAATTTTGGTTCAGAGCAGGTTCATGATGCAGCTATTAACGACCTCTGTGAAAAATAGACTTTATTAGCTATATGAGCCATGAAACTGGTTGAAATGTTGCCAAGAAAGAATTGGCATAGGGTGGAAAGAGAAGATGCCTGAAAATTTTAATGTAACTACCCAGCAGAGACTTAGGTTACCTTTTAATACACATCACCTCATGCGCTACAGGAGCTGTCTCTTAGTACCCAGATAACAACAAACATGCAAAGGATCATCAGACGTCCACTTGTGAAGCTGCACACGTTCTTCACAAGAAACTATCTTTTATATGGAAATAGCAATTAGTGGAAATTAAAAGCTAGCAGTTCATGAGAGGTTCACTGTAGCAAGACATTAAATCAGTGCTTTAAGTTAGGGCTGCTCATTTTAAAGCTAAATTCAATTCATGTAGGATGTGATCGCTGTTAAACAACCACATCTAGTGGCACAGCAGATGAAAAATTGTTTCCAAAGCAAAGCCACTGGCTTGAATTTCCTTGGCCAGATAAGCACAATATTCCTTTAGATTAAATACCATTGTTCTGTAGAACAGGCTAATGACATTTATTATCCAGTTCAATAGCTAATCAACTTAGCAGTTATTTTTTAACACCATGTGTTGTGAGTAGCCTGCACATCAAATGAGAAATAA